AAAATATTGGAATCATATTGTTAAGAGCTTATATCAGATCAGTTAAAAGTGAGTAATTTAAAAATATTTACTTTATTATTCTGAGTTTTAACTTTCATTAAAATAGTACCCTAAAACTTAAAGGTGAGTAATTTAAAAATATTTACTTTATTATTTTGGGTTTTAACTTTCATTAAAACAGAACCCTAAAACGGGTTTTAACTTTCATTAAAATAGAACTCTAAAACTTAAAGGTGGGTAATTTAAAAATATTTACTTTATTATTTTGGGTTTTAACTTTCATTAAAACAGAACCCTAAAACTTTAAGGTGGGTAATTTAAAAGCATCTGTTCAGATTGTATTAACACAGTCATTGATTGTGTATCATATGAATTGCTTTAAAATGAAACCCTAACTGTTTATTTAACTGAGGTTTTCACTACATGCACACTTGAACTATTATAGTATTATGCATTTTGTTGTTGGAGACTAATGATGGTGTAGTATAAGTTTTAGAGTTCTAATTTAATTAATGAAAGTTAAAACCCAGAATAATAAAGTAAATATTTTTAAATTTCTCACTTTTAAGTTTTAGCCCCCTAGTGGCACAGCAGTATGTCCGCAGACTTACAACCCTAGAAACTGGGTTTTGATACCCGCGGTGGGCAGAGCAACAGATAGCTCTTTGTGTAGCTTTGTGCTTAACTTCAAACAAAATCCTTCTTTAAGTTTTAGAGTTCTATTTTAATGAAAGTTAAAACCCAGAATAATAAAATAAATATATATATGTTGAATTATCAATACAAACATCTGTTCAGATTGTCTTAACACAGTCATTGATTGTGTATTGTATATATGTTGAATTATCAACAAACAAACATCTGTTCAGATTGTCTTAACACAGTCATTGATTGTGTATTGTATATATGTTGAATTATCAACAAACAAACATCTGTTCAGATTGTCTTAACACAGTCATTGATTGTGTATTGTATATATATGTTGAATTATCAACAAACATAATACACAATCAATGACTGTGTTAAGACAATCTGAACAGATGTTTGTTTGTTGATAACTCAACATATATATAATACACAATCAATGACTATGTTAAGACAATTTTAACAAACATTTTTGTTTTACAGTTAAATTCTGAAGTGAGGATCCAGAGTATAAAACAACAAAGTATAATAAACAAACCTACATTATAAGAGAAGTTGTTTGTTTATCATTTTAACTCTAGCAATCATAAATGAGCTAGGATCAACATATTTGAGCATAGTTATATTTTTTGAACAGATTCAATAAGTAACTTCTTCTAGTATGAATTAAAGCACAAAACTTTCAAATCCCAGGTATTATTCTGTCAGTGGGGAGATGTATTTCTATCAGTTTTGGTGGACAAATAAGTTTTTTTTCTTATAACTAGTCTAATAACTCAGTAAAAACAATATGCTCACATACTGCACTGGTATAGGTTAGTCCAGCATGGGTTTACAGTATGTGGAATGTATAATAGCATTTCAACTGTACATTGTTATATGTTGCTGCGTACGACATCTTCACTCAGTGCTAGAGCTCTACTACAGGTTAGTTGTTAATAAATGTGATAATTATAACAAGACTAATAATACTTTTACTTACATATATCTTTATTAGTCCAACATGGGTTTACAGTATGTGGAATGTCTAATAGCATTTCAACTGTACATTGTTGTATGTTGCTGCCTACGACATCTTCACTCAGTGCTAGAGCTCGTCAGATTGGAATAACCTTAACCAGTTTAGACGTTACGTATCACAAGTCTTGATACTGATTTTTTTTTAAAACATCTCAGTACAAACTTTGACTGAAACAATCAAAATGGTGAGTCTGCAACTAGCCGACGGTAGTTTTATTGAACTATCTTATTACTTTGAACCAATACTGAGAAAATATTTGTTTGTTGATTACTTAATATATACAATTTTAAAAAACCGATAAACAAATAATCTATAAGCTATTACTTTCAGTCTATTACAGACACGTACAAATCTAGTTACAGCTGTTGATCAACAGTTACATTGTAACCAGTGTTCCCTCTAAGCTGCACGGCCACACAACAACCAGCCAAGTGTTGCACACTTAATTATTCCAGCTGCACACATCCTCAGTAATGGTGAGGAATCCCAACACATTGATGGCCTTAATGACCCTGGAAGTCGATAGTCCTAAACCCAAATAACCAACTGGTAGCATTGCAAAGTGGCCTAATGATAAAATAGGGTTGATGGTCTAAAAAATACACACACCCTCCAGAAAAAAAAAACTAGTAGCACACATCTGCACATTATCTTAATACTGGTGCATATGAAAAAAAATCATTTCGCACATGGATTGAAAACCTTAGAGGGAACACTGATTGTAACCATCTACTGACATTAGCTACAGCACTTTTAATCCTACAAGTGTATTTAAACACTTGCAGCCAAACAGTAGTTAAGTTATCATGAGCAGATACATACAGTTAAATATACATAATCCTAGTATAATTATCCATAGTTTCTGTTAACTTCAGTAAGCCTTTCACAAATACGAGGTACGTAATCCGTTAAACTGCATGAAACCTAATAAGCAAACTCATGCTCCAATTTCCTTTAACTAAAATATTTAATCTTAATACTTCAGTAATCCTTTTTAAGCTGAAAATAACACTGGTTGTTCTATTGAACTCTAAGTTATTTTTCACTATTTCCACAACACTTAATATCTTAGCTCTGGAAAATGGAATGCGAGTCCTGACAGTACTTTATACTCAAATATATTTGTTGAAAACTGAAACCAAACCTGTAAGTTTCTAAAAGTGTTATATTTTCACAGAAAAAGAAGTTTCTGTTTGTTTCATGCAGTTAAAACATTATTTCAAATTTTACAAACCAATTTTAAAATAGCATTTGAGCGTGGAAATAAAAACTTATTTTATACTTTAAACCAACACTCATAAGCACACATTTTACATAGGCTTGCTTTGGCTAGATAATTTTCTGCTAGATTTTTTATCCGAAAAATCCATCATAAAATATGCTTAAAAATACAAAAAAAACTTAAACGTTTAATATGCAAAGGTTACAAGAAAACAATGCTGCATAATATGCTTGAAATCCCACACAAAATTAGATGTTAAATATTTAAAGAGGTGAAGTCATTACTGACGTGTCCAAGTTACAAACAGAACACTGCGATAGTAAAAAACAAAACTGTTCACATATTTTCAATCGTACATTTTTCAAATATATCACTTAAATTATTAGATAAATCTTGAGTGCGATAAACATCGCTTCCACTAATATCACCATAAAAATTACTTAGTAGAAACAAATGCATAAAATTTTAGAAATATCCGGAAAGCAATAATAAATATTACATCTATTGATACGGTATCACAAAAAGTCTAATTTTACCTTGAAGTCTAAAAAGTAAGTACAAAGAGAAGTACCAGGGTAGAAACTTTAACTTACATCTGTTCTGGTTTTGGATGGATAAATGACAAACAGAGACAGCTGAAATCCTGCTAACATGGCACCAATCAAGTTGGGTACCTGGAAAAGTTATTAGATATTTACTTTTCCAGATCGATGGATTGATATAATTGTTCTATTTATATATATATATAATAGATGACATCAGAAACAAAATTCAACGTTAACAATTTTCAGAGGTTGCAATTGAATTTAATAATTAATTTTAAAAAAAAAAGAGCTACATGTGGTGAAATATGATCCAGTTTCAGTTTATAATATTACTGACCTCGTGCCAAAGTCCACCAAACAAACTGTGTATGAGTAAAAAGATCTCATTCTACCATTTCGTGTCACTGATGACACTTACTTTGGACCTTCTTTTTATTTTGGTGAAGTAAAACAGTTTTATCTTCATCCAATCATCATTCAGTGTAAAGCAAACAAGCTCTGAAAAATTCACTTTTTTCTATTTGTCTTAAACATCTCATAACCATTTGTTGGACACTCCTCCCACACTGTAGTAATAACCTATGTTTATCTTCATACCACCTAAAGATAAGTAGGTAGGAAACAACAACACATAAAATCTCAAGCCCACCTGAATAAACTTGTCATTCAACATAAAACCATACATAAACCACAAGGATGTCATTCCAAAAGTAGTCAAGATGATTGGAAAAGGTAACATTTTCACACTTTTCGTCTTTATAACATCAGCCTGAAAAGATAAAAGACACTTCACCATCTTAAATACCCTTCTTCTTAAAACCACAAACACAATTTGACATCACAAATAACTATTCTTATGCGTCAAACAACACAACATACTTCACGCTATGTGGTAAATGTATAATATTTAAGTTAGTTAACTGTAAATGTTCAACATGTATTAAAAAATGTAAACAAATAGATATTTGACATACAATACCTGTACTTTTTTCAATCTATTCTGTTTGTATGTACCTAAATAAATCTTGATGCTACAAACTTTATACTGACACAGATCAGTAAAAATGAGATATTGTTTTTATGCTTAAGAACAATAACAACATTAGTTAGGACTACTTAACAGAGTGAGCGAATCAGATAGACAAAAGCCAACAACACTTAAAGCATGTTAATGTTTCTCCAGAAAGCCACATCTTATTTTTTTAGTGCCATGATCAACAAGTGAAGTATTTCTTATCTTGTATCAATAAATAAAGAAAAAATTAGCGTTTTTCCTTCATTTAATAAGATAAATGCAAATGCTAATAAAATAAATTATATCTTTCAAAAATTCAGACACCAAAGATAAATAACTACTTTTTATAACAAACTAAAATAAGTTATATAATCAATTATAAAAATTTACAGTTAAAAACTAACACTTCCTTCCCTCTGATGACAGAGACTACTCATTAAAATTTATGGTCTCTTCAGTTAATATATCACATAATAAAAATAATAATAATAATACAGTAGGAAAGTATAAGATGCGTGATAGATTAACTTAGTAAGTTCTTCAAAATCTGAGTGAAGAAAAGTACATACTTCTCTATAAAAAATAACACCTTATAACCAATGTTCCCTCTAATCTTTTAAATCCATGAGCAGAAGGAATTTTTTTATGTGTACCAGTATCAAAGCAATGTGCGGATGTGCTACAAGTTTTTTTGTTCTTTTTTTAGGGTGGTGGTGGTATTTTTTAGACATCGACCCTATTGGATCATTAGGCCGCCTTGCAATGGTACCAGTTGGTTATTTGGGCTTTAAGCCTATCGACTGCCAAGGTCATTAAGGCCATCAACTCCTCACCATTACTGAGAACGTGTGCAGCTGGAATAATTAAGTGTGCGGCATTTGATTGGTTGTTGTGCGATTGCACAGCTTAGAGGGAACACTGCTTGTAACCCAGGAGGGATTTTTAAATCATTTTATTCCTTAATGTTTTCGCCTAATACTTCTTCAGTAGCTCCTGCATAATTCTTAACACTGGACCAATAAAATAATTTGTTAAAATCTTTCAGAAGTTACAATTCTATTTGTTTATAAAGAAATGACTTTATCTTTGCTGTTATGAATATAAAATGTGTTTTGAAATGAGAAATTAAAATAAACAAGAGGTTAGCCAAATGGTTATACTTATATGAGTAACACATGAATGAAAAAAAAGAAAACAGGGTTAAAAAAAATACATAATGAGAGAGAGAGAGAGAGAGAAAGTGAGCTGTACAAAGAATGTAAATTTACCATAAAACCAAGTCTAAAACTACAAAGTTACCATTGAAGAGAGAGGTGCGGCACAGAATGCCAAGCTTGCTCCACTGGCCATTAGTCCAGAAGCAAAAGTTGCTTCATCTTTACCTTTAGTGATGTAGATGAGGTAAGAGAACAATCCCAGCAAAAGAATACCAATTCCAAAAAGTTGTTTATGTAGTGTTTGCTGTGAAATAAAATGAGGAAAGATATACATACTTCTCTAATGACTTATCAGGGGTCTTTCTATGTGAACATGTTTGATATAACCAATAACTAAAGATATACATACTTCTCTAATTGCTCATCAGGGGTCTTTCTATGTGAACATGTTTGATATAACCAATAACTAAAGATATACATACTTCTCTAATGACTCATCAGGAGTCTTTCTATGTGAACCTGTTTGATATAACCAATAAGTAAAGATATACATACTTCTAATGACTCATCAGGGGTCTTTCTATGTGAACCTGTTTGATATAACCACTAAGTAAAGATATACATGCACTTCTTTAATGACTCATCAGGAGTCTTTCTATGTGAACCTGTTTGATATAACCACTAAGTAAAGATATACACACTTCTCTAATGGCCCATCAGGGGTCTTTCTATGTGAACCTGTTTGATATAACCACTAAGTAAAGATATACATACTTCTCTAATGACTCATCAGGAGTCTTTCTATCTGGCCCTGTTTGATATAACCACTAAGTAAAGACATACATACTTCTCTAATGACTCATCAGGGGTCTTTCTATCTGGCCCTGTTTGATATAACCACTAAGTAAAGATATACATACTTCTCTAATGACTCATCAGGGGTCTTTCTATCTGGCCCTGTTTGATATAACCACTAAGTAAAGATATACACACTTCTCTAATGGCCCATCAGGGGTCTTTCTATCTGGCCCTGTTTGATATAATTTAATTGTTGCCCCTGAACATTTCAATAATGACATATTACTCTAGACCCAATCAAGAAAGAGATTTTACTTCTTTATTTAATTCCTCTTTACGAGCAAAGTCAGTTCATTTGTTTCTATATATATATATATATATATATATATTACAAGAAATCAAAAAATATTGTGTATTTCAAAGTATGCTTTTACATAGATTTTTTAAATTTATTTAGAGGATGGGACAGCCAAGATGGACCAACAGCTCTCTTGTTGTTCCTAAACATTATGTTATAAAAATCTGTTTCATTCATTGTGAGGACTAGTTTAACCTTGACCTCTAGTGGCCAGTTTCAGTACTATATCCAATATATATTAATACTGTGCATATTATAACTTTTTATTATTTCAATAGTTAAATGGTATATTAAACTATTCCTATTGTAGCTGCTATTTTGTTTGCTTAGAGCTCCTATGCGTAATCCACATCCATAACGTTGGCATGACAACTCTGAGTCAGTTGCTTCAGCCTCTCATATCTTTTTACACTTTTTTTTGTGCGCTTCTTCTACTGCATTTTCCTATTCCAAATCTATTTACCGCTTGAGAAACTATTCACAATTATTTCAAGACATCGTAATCACATACACACCAAGTTTCACATAATTAATGACTCTACATGTACATAAATTTTAACAAGTATTAAATACTGTCCCTCTCAAATTCATCGATGCACACGTATTAATGTTGCTGAAGAGTGATGGTGCATGTGACTGAAGATGAGCTTGCATGGACTTCATAATGCACATACAATACATTCTAATGTAAGTGAGAGCTTCTATGAAGATAAGAAATTGATTGCCTATATGAATATTTGTGTAAACACAATTCATCACAACAGATTAGAATAAATAATAAAACTCCTTAAAATGAAGAACACTAACACAATGTCAAGGATTACAATTTAAATATACATGTCGTAAATTAATACGTTTTTTTAACTCTAGAATAGATTTTAAGTTATTTTAGCCCAACTTATTAAAATTTTTAAGTATATTTGTTAACTTCTGTAAATTTTTGTGTGTTTGTTTGTCTACTGTCTTAAAGTTTGTTACTATATATACAAACATCAATTCCTTCCAGAACTATTTTGGCTTATTATTATGGTATAGAAGATATTTTATCTGACAAGGATATCACAGGTGTGTATTTCTTTGGTAATTACTCTAAACAGTTTAATTAAGATTTCTTTTGATTTCATGTAATTACCAACATAGAGCATATTTTTTAAACCTCCAATTTCATATCAACATTATAAATTTTTATCCTTTTCTTTGCATTTATTATCATTTTATGTTACAAAATATTTTACGGTGTTAAAATATATATTTACTAATCCACTTCTTTGTTCCTTAAATCTTTATTACAAGAAATTAATCATGTCACTTTAACCTAAAGAAAAGCTTAGTATGAATTGTATATAAAAGTAGAAATCTACAAAATACCAGAAATATTTTTAAACATTCAGAATCATTAATAAATCTACTTTAAACAAAAAAACATCCCAGAAATATTTTTAAACATTCAGAATCATTAATAAATCTACTTTAAACAAATAAAATATCCCAGAAATATTTTTAAACATTCAGAATCATTGATCTATCTACTTTAAACAAATAAAATATCCCAGAAATATTTTTAAACATTCAGAATCATTGATCTATCTACTTTAAACAAATAAAATATCCCAGAAATATTTTTAAACATTCAGAATCATTGATCTATCTACTTTAAACAAATAAAATATCCCAGAAATATTTTTAAACATTCAGAATCATTAATAAATCTACTTTATGAACAATAACCTCTCAACTTATGTATAAACCTAATATCCATATAACCCAGTACCTTATAATGCAAATAATTCCCAAATATTAATATTCACCATAATAGATTCTCTGACTAGAACCATTACTGGTCCATTAACCATATCTTGAAATTAATTACTTTGTGAACTTGTTTCTTCCTAACATAAACAAACCAAAACTAATCACAGCATCTTTCCACTATAAAAATGCATGCACAGATCATTATTGATGCAAATGATGCTTAATTCTGTTTATAATCAGGTCAATGTTATTTACACCAACAAACTCACCCTGTTCAGTGTGAAGATGTAATACCACAGCACGTAAACTGTCTGGAAGGTAAGACCAATTGTATTGACAATAATTACTGCTGAATCTTGAATAAAAAGTCCATAACGGAGCCATAACACACCACTGTAAAATATAATCATGCTACAGTAGCAACTTATATAACATTAAAATAATATGCTCATTACCAATTGTTCCTATACAATTCAATTTAAAATATGTGGTCCAAAGTGTAGTTACATCAAAGAAAATACATTAAATTTTGAAGCAAAAAAAATTCTAACCGGATATACACAAAACAAAGCTTTAATAAGTGTAACTGACTGTAATGAAGTCAAACATAAGTTTGTGAAGCAATGAGACTAATAAAAGTAATTAAAATCACACCTGACTACAGGTGCATGCTATAACATGGCTGATAATAAGTGCATTATTAATTTAATATGAGAGGTGTACAAACTGAAAAACGGCATTTCAGGTCTGTCTTTCACGTATCTAGGTAATCTTTCATTCAATACCAGAACTCGCATGAATTAGATCAGTGGTTCTCCATGTGCGGTATGCAAGGGTCCTCCAGGTGGTCCAATATGCAAGTCACTGACGTGCAACACCACATTTAAGGCCATACGAGAGAACAGAACAAGTGGGCTAGGACCAATAGGTGATCCGCAGGATCTTTGGCCCCACCAAACTGATCCGTGAAATAAAACGTTTGAGAACCACTGAATTGGGCCAACAGCAGTAAAAATATGTCAGATTTGTTTGTTTGTAACTAAGCACAGTGAGTTATCTGTGTTGTGCCCACCAGGCATATCAAAACTGGTTATAATGTACAAGTACATAGGCTTACTGCTCAGCTACTTGAGGGGGGGGGCAATATGTAAGGTGTTTTATGCAGTAAAAGAAACTTAATACAATTGCAGACAAAATATAGGTTTAAAATTCTATTTTGACACATCTTCGACTTAAAATCCATAATGCAGATTAAACCAGAAGAATGTAAGAAAAAGATTGTAAGGTATAACTTACCTTAGGTTTATTCTTATGAATGGGTAATTGTGTATTCGTGAAGTCCCTTCTAAAATCTGTTTAATAACATTGTATTCCATAAAGATTTCTTTATTAACATAATCAGATGAAAAGAACTTTCAAAGGTTTCAGTAATTATTTATTAATTTGACAAACATAAGAATAACAACTACTCAAAAACTAATAGCACGTGAATAGCGTTTTCTACGTTAGCAGTTAATCACCCTACTACACACATATACTGATTAAATTCAAGAAAAAATGTAGTACATTTTGCACAAGTTTAAAACTGATTATTCCACAAATATGTGTTGCAATTATGGGGTGGGGGCAGTCTGATGCATGTTTTTTGTCTTGATAAACTCAACTGGGTTTGAAGAATTTTAGAAGACATACATATATAGTGATCTGAAGGACGAAAAGCTTCGTACTTGAATTATCTATACATTTCTTCTCAGCAGCCATGGTCTAAAAAAAAGTATTTATATCAAACGTTAATTAAAGTACTGGATATAACTAGATGTACTTCAGCAGGGTCCCCGAGAGTGTTCTGTTTGAATGGAAAATAAAACCAAAATTAAGAGTAACAAATACTTTTATTTCTTCCTTTTGAAGTTCATACGTCATGCTATGTTGTAGCCTACAGAGTGCACAGTTCTTATCATGATTCTTGGCACGTGCACATTTTACTGACAGTACAAATTGCAACATTTAGCATCCCTTACGTGACCCCATTTTAGTGTCTAATGACTGACTGATAGACAAACAGGTGACCCTCCAGTTGGCCTTTGGCCCCCTTTTGGGGAAACTACAGTAACTAATTCTTTTACATTTCTATTATTATTAATCCAAAAATCTAATTACAGCAGTGTGTATATGTATTACTGAATAATGATACCAATAGACGTAGTTACACTTTGTACCTACAGACACAAATATATATATATATATATATATATATATATATGTATGTGTGTGTGTGTTAGGAAACAACCATATGTACTGGTTGGTTACAAAGACAATAGGGGTACTTGGAACAAACTGCAGAGTAAACTGTGTACAACATCGATGAAATAAGTTGAATATATACATAAAGGATCATAAGAAGTGTCTTACACTAGTTTCTGGAAACGGCACTAAGGGGAGCCACTATAGAAAACATTCAATGTTGTCGCCACCAATTACAACTACTGGGTTCCTCCAGACAATGGCAGAACTGGATAATGGCTATTGACCATATCCTCATAACCAGTAGCCAGCATGGTTGATGGTGTGATGACAAGGCATCATATGACAGTTTAAGGACCACCATTCTTCATCTGAAGTATGCCCCAGTGAAGAGGTTCGAGTAATTCCCATCAAACCTCCAGTTACGTCCTTTAATTAAAGACCAAGAACTGGATAATGGTTATTGACCACATCCTCACAACCAGTAGCCAGGAGGGTGAGGTTAGGATAGTGTGATGACAAGGCATCATGACAGTTTAAGGACCACCATTCTTCAACAGAAAGATGCCCCAGTGAAGAGGTTCGAGTTATTCCCAGAGAGATGCAACAAGGTATAATATTTTCACCACAGTAAAAACCTAGTATTGTTGATATTCTTCAAGTAGTCTAAATTTAAAGTCAAACAACATAAACATTATATTAATGTAAATTTATTTAGTAAAATAAAACTTCTGATAATTACAACTTTACCTCACAAAGCTTTAAAACAATTAGGGAATTTACAAACATAAAGCAAGAAAGTATATTCAGATAATACAGTATTATTGTGTTGATAACACTATTTAACTTCTCCATGCTACCCAATGCAATGTTATAGTGTTACAATAATAATAATAATATAGTATTTTAGATTAATTAATGTCAACTACATAGTCCTAAAGCAATATAAATTAATACATATTCCCTAATATAAGTTTTTATTATTATAGTCTTACCTAACAAATTATGAAACCTAATTGGTAACAAATAAGAAAAGCTCCATCTAATCACATCATGTTAGTTTTATAGTGTCTTACCAAAAGATTACTTCACTCCTTTCAACCAAATTCCTATGACTTTTGGAGATACGCATTTTTTACATTTCTTCTCAAGAGAATGTTTAGAGTGGTGAAATGTTTTTTTTTACACTGCATTACATAAAGGACACTTGGTAATTTGAATCAGTACATCTGGTTGTTATTCAAATTACTTGGCCAACCTCATCACTCTGTGTACAGACATTGTGTGCAGACCTCATGATCTCCCCGAATTCTCTCCCTACAAAGATAATTTTGTGTAACTACAACATATATTTACTAAGCACAGGCATGTGTAATATATTCCAAACCGTACTGGTGGGTATACATCCTGGTGCCCACACTTTGAAAGTGGTGCCTAGATCTGCACCTGATTTGTACAGGCCTGCTATAAATAATATTCAGTAAACTGTATACATTTACTTACCACAAGACACCTGTTAAAAATGGGAATGGTGATATATCTGCTGTGGTTCCTTTTTTCCAAATTTTTTGGCAGACAAACCTGTATATTGAAAACACAATCCATAAATATCTATACTAAATACATGTAAAAAAAAAGAGTTTACTGGTTTGTTAAACTAACATATCAATAACTTTCACTGATTTTAAATATAATCAAATTATGAGAAGATTTATTATATATATATATATATAAAAATCATTAAAACTTTTAGCATACTATGGTTGCACAGTGGTGGATAGAGCCACTCTGATGGGTCAATACAGATAAATAGGATTGATTGTCGGTTAGAGACAAGAAAGTATACATATAATGTAAGGACAACAAGGGACTTATTATTCTATCTCATCAATCCTTCACACTAAACTACAAAATAAAAATACTCAAAGCCAACCTTTATCATTCAAATATTTATCAAGCCTTCCCTTAAACTCCTTTCATTTAACTGAATGCACTACATCTGAAGGCAAGTTGTTCCAAAGCTAACCGCACTGTTAGAAAAGTGAAGCGGTCTTTGCTGAAGATGACACCTATTTGCTTGGATCCCTTTCTTTCATGACACTGTTAAGGTTATTCCCATCAAGAGTTAACTCATAATTACAAATATATCTCACGTGCATTACCTTGCATCTATTATAATTAAAAGCCATTTATTTGACCAACTCACTAAATGAGCTAAATCCTTTTGTAAAGCAGCAACAACATCCTTATGGCTAGCAACACCCAAAACCTTAATATCAACAGTAAATTTAAATAATCTATTGACCATTTCTTCATCTATGTCATTAATATAAACTAAAAAAGAGAAAAGATCCCAACACTAAATCCTGAGGTACTCCCATTTGTGACCAATGTTCCCTCTAACCTGCACGGTTGCACAACAACCAATCAAATGCCACACAATTAATTATTCCAGCCATGCACATCCTCAGTAATAGTGAGGAGTCTCAACACATTGATGGTCTTAATGGGCGTGGCAGTCAATAGGCCTAAAGTCCAAATAACCAACTGATAGCATTGCAAAAGCAGCCTAATGATTCAATATGGTTGATAGTCTAAAAATACCCCCCACCCCCCACACACACACCTCAAAAAAAGGTAGTGTACATACAAACATTGACTTGATACTGGTGCACATGAAAAAATTCATTTCACACATGGATTGAAAAGTTAGAGGGAACATTGCTTGTAACAGTAATCCAGTTTGACTGAACTCTCTCTTATAACAACCTTCTGATTGCTTCCATCCAGCCAGTTTTCTATCCAATGAGCCAACCTATTCCCCAACACCTACACAGACAATTTTCTACAAGTATTTTATGTAGCACCTTGTCAAATGTTTTCTGAAAAATCCAGATACACAAAATCCACACCCGTACCCTCATCTACATAAACAGTAACCTCTCAAATAATGTCAAAAGATTAGTAAGGCATGATTTTCCCTTAGTGAAACAAGGCTTGCTCTCCAACAAAATTTTAAACTTTGTTAAATGACTTTGTATTGCATCTTTTATCACTTCCAAAAGTTTTTTCCCACCACTGATGTACAACTAATAGGTCTACAATTATTGGAACAATTTTTATCACCTTCCTTGAAAAGAGGATTAACATTAACCAACTTCAAATCTTCTGGCATCTGCTGTTATTCAAGGACTCAGAAAAATAGTAACAAGTGGATCATATATCCAATCTTAAATCTTCTTCAAGACTCTTGGGGAAATATTACCTGACCCAGAAGCTTTATCATTCTTTAAACTTCCCAATTTTTTTCTTAACAAGCTCAGAATTAATCTTATCATATTGTTAAAATTTGTTTCCATCTGGCAACTGTTCAGGATGAGGAATATTATTTAAATCTTCATTACTAAAAATACAAATTTATCTTTACAAATAAAACGCTCTTCTCTAAAGCAGTGTATAATAAATTAGAACAACACATGATTGTCATAACTTGTAAGCGTTTAGAGCCTGTCAACTAAATTAAAAGTTATCTAAAAATCACTAGCATATAACAGTGTTAATACTGCAATAGTAGTTTTTCAAATACAGTATTAAATAACAAATAAAGTTAAAAAAAAATTGTTATAACTATTCCTATCATGAGCTATGTACATGTGATTACCTAAACCTGAGTTGCCAGATGTATATACAGCTACCAGTTTGGCTTTTCTTTATCAATCTTTAAACCTACAATGCTGTCACCATCCAGGTTTTTCATCTCGGAGGAAGTTGCGATTACAGTGCAAAGTAAAAGTTTGTGTCTATGAGCTAGAAAAACAATAAATCTTAAAAATAAACCTGACACAACATTCATTTTCTCCTTTACTCTTGTAAAATAAAATGAGGAACCTACAATAAAGTTATATTTTTTGTCAATTATGCGTATGTAATTTGTGATACGGAGATGTCATTTGTATAATAATGTGGTAACAAAAAAAAAAAAGAAGAAAGATTGCTCTTTAAAATCTCCATGAAAATTCACAAAAGCATTTATCTGTTAAAACTGTAACAAACTCTCTGATAATATTAATAACTATAGGTTAGGCATTATTAAATATGATTATTTGTAATATGACTAATGGAAATCCTGGATCAACTCTGGAGAAATGTTTATGAACATGATTCTGTGATACGTAAAATGTCAATAGTAATAAATACTCACGCTCCGCTAAAAAAACTTGCAACTGTACATACTGTTGCAGCATTTCCCAAGATGGTTTTGAGATCCATTTATTCAAAGCTCTCCTATTACAGTCTTTCCTGTCAGTTCTAACTGGATAACTTGAATTGTAGTTTGAGTAAATAATGACTACAATATCTCCAGTCTTGTTTCCTTAAAATAGGGATTTGTAGTTTGAGTAAATAATGACTACAATATCTCTATGCCTTATTTCTTACTATCTCTATTTGCAGGCTTTTAAATTCCATATTTTTGATTTATCTTGTTTACTGGCTTTTTTATGCCCAACTATGGGCAAAAGAATTACTTGATATGATAGCTAACTTTATACATTGTAATAGTAATAAACATATTTAGTAGTCGGCTGATACAGTTCATGATGATTTACTGTAGCTATTAACTATTTGATCACATTAGTTCAAGATGTAAAATGTTAAAACTGCAGCTAGAGATTGTTCATGGAGATTTGTTTAAGAATATAGTGAGCATTTATAGTTTCTGTGTAACTAAATTCTCTGTGTATAATGCATAGCAATGAACAAATATATATCCACACTAAGACACAACCCCCAGTAAACCTATATAAAATTTTACTAGTACAAAAGCAGCCTTTTCAAATAGAACATATACATCTAAAACATTGCTTTAAATAAACCTTCATGTCTTTTAAAGTAAATATTCTATAAGAAGTGTGTAATAATATTTAATATTACATTTTTAATTATTCTTTATTCCTTCACTTTATACATAATATAGGGATTGGCTCCCTAAAGACACCAACTGTATAGTGTACAAAGCATTGAGTATCTACATGTTACAGCAATCTAATGTTCATCTATTATTGGCTGATAATTCCTGTTTCAACATGTACTTATGTGTTTTAAGGAATCACCACATATTTGTAAAAAAGCTAACTTCGTGGGGTAATGATACCATCGTTTACACTAAAAATTCTAGAATTATGTTTTTAGCTTATGTAAAACATGGAAGAAACCAACCGATTTTTCAATACCGCTACAACCTTTACAGTACATTATTTAATATTGTACAAAAGCTTTGAGTGAATTGTACCAAGCCATTTTTGTTGTAGGCTACCAAGTGCACAAGAAGAATTACAAACGGTCCGTTTTGAGCGGATTTCTTTTCCTTGTAAATCTAACATTCATGCTTTTTTGTGCATTTATGTAATTGTGTGTACAGCCTTAGCAGACAATAGTAAAGGTTTTTAACTAATGTGTTGTTTGAACTGAATATTTGCTGTTTAAGGTGCTTTTTGCCCAAACGTTCTATTAATATCAGGGTTTTGTGCTATTCCTTGGGATCACTATTTTAATTATTATGAATTTAATATTATTGATATCAACTGTCTCTTGAGTCTTAAAAATTAACAATACATTGTCATCGTTCATTGACGCGGAACATGAACAATGTCATCATGGATAATTATTGAAATATAATATTGAAATTTGTAACAACGTTACAATATATAGCGGACGTAGTGAATTTGAAATACACACTCTTCCTGAAAAAACCTAAACTAAAGGGCTAAACAAGATGTTAAACTTAAAATATAACGCCAACAAGCCTAATAGTAATACTGGGAATGCCTTTTCTAAGCTGTCAAGGTATTATTATAATTAATTATACTTGTCAAAAGACAAGATGTTAAACTTAAAATATAACGCCAACAAGCCTAACAGTAATACTGGGAACGCCTTTTCTAAGCTGGCGAAGTATTATTATAATTAATTATACTTGTCACAAGACAAGTTTAGGAAAGACGTTCACGCCATAATATATATAATGCTAATAGTAAATTATGTTTTAATTACTAAAACGTAACTACACTTCTATATCTAAACTAAATTAAAAATAACTATCATTACTGAGACTGAGAGTCCTATCTGCTGTGCTTCTCCTTCTAATACAACATCAAACTATCCAGTTACTCAATGGCTTTACTGTTGCTGTGTTAACACGTGTACAAAAGCTTCGGTGTATGCGGCGCCAAATGAAACTTTGGAATTTTATGTTCAATCGTATGTGCAATCTATATGAATAAACGTCAATATGCGTGTGTGTATATCTGTTCCTTATACGTTTCCACATTTCTTTATCAATCAGCACCAAACTTGACATAGTGATACAGAATGACATGAGGAAGGTCATTGGAGTTCAACCACTCCCCCCATCTAATTTCATATTGATAGAATTCTTGAAAACAGTAAGTCTTTCTTTTCAGTATTTGTACCTTTATGTATTTTTATTGCACTTTTAATGTTGTTGTCCCCCCCCCCCAGTGGCACAGCGGTATGTCTGCAGATTTTCAACGCTAGAAACCGGGTTTCGATACCCGTGATAGGCAGAGGTCAGATAACCCATTGTGTAGCTTTGTGCTTAACTTCAAACAAACTAAAGTAAACTTTTAGTGTTTATTATGTTAAAAAAAATAGAAGTACGATTTCCTATCCTTTGTTACAAACGAGTTTTTATTTCACCCATCCAACGGATACTCCTGCTATTAATATATAAATTGCATAGCTCCAGATTTTTTCATGACCGTTTCCATCGGAAATTATAAATCGACTTGTCAGTTTGTAAATGTCACTACAGCTTATAACTTGGCTGAGATATATTCATATTGAATTAATAAATGTAACTGATAATTTGAAATATCCAATTCGTTTTATTAAATCGCCTTTTTATTTATAGAATCTACATTCAATTTACGAAATTTGGCATTTCGTTCTATTAAAATACGTTTATTTTCTACGTGTGCTTATCGATTTATAAGCCTACACGACAATTTATAAATCCAAGAGGCTATTTAAAAAAACTGAAGAGAGATTATAAATTGTCATTTACATTTAATAAATCAATAAACATAATTCTCAGCCAACTTGTTAATTTAAAATAGTAGTACCTTTATCAACTAAGTATACAATATATAAACTGCACGCAATTTAACGTAAGTTGCAATTTCCTTTGGCGTCTCATATGCATGTAACAAAGAGAAATATATATTTTTGCTCTACAATAAACATATACCTCAACAAAATGTTAAAAACACTTGTCAACACAACAACGATCTACCCACCCACCCAAAACACAGAGATATTCTGTTAGTTTATACAAACATAAATACAGCTGTTCCTGTTGCTAGATGACTCGTTGCGCCACCTTCAAGGCTAAAGTATTTTCATTTCGAACTTTAATTACTGTTTGGTTGGTTTTTACTCATGTGTTAATTTTTTTTTTAAAGTAGGTGCAAAATATCAAAACTAAAAGTGAAAGTTCACATAAAGACATTTTATTAAAATTAGGCGATGATGTTAATATGTTGTCTCCGACGTCTAAGTTCACCTAGCCTCGAATCGGGATAACTTCACAAGTACGGGTATTATAGTGACACTGTACGTTTGTTGTTATCAGTGTCAGTAGCCTTTGAAAGATTGTATAAATATGTAATAGGATCGTGGCAACCAGTTAGCTATTTCTGGTTCTGTTTTCCAAATGGCTAGACACTGCAACTGTACATTTTATTACGTAAATGTTGAATGTGCAATCCACAGTTTTTAACCAGTCTTGGAAATTATATTTAGCGCAATGTACTAACGGCACCATTCAGAAAAGTATAAATTTACGACTTTCAAAATTTAGAGGTGATCTTATATATTTTTTACTAAAAAGGGGTTATTTACTTAGTTTATCGGGAATAATTTTTAATCAATTTTTATGCAAATAAGATAGTGCTGAGCCACTGGGGTGCTTAATTAAACGTACTTTTGCATCTAATTTTCTTACAATAAATCAGATTTACTTGTAATTTCAGATATTCACATTTATATGGATACTATTTACATTCACTTGAAAAAAAAATCCCCTCATAGATCAGCGTTATGTCTGAAGACTTATAAGGCTAACAACTGGGTTTCGATACCCGTGATAGGCAGAGCACAGACAGCTTTGTCCTTAATAATAAACAAACAAATAAGAAACTTAAAATGGGCCATCTGTGCCTACCACGAGTATCGAAACTCGGTTTTAGCGGTGTAAGCCCCCAGGCTTACCGCTGTGCTAGGGAGGAGGGGGACCCATTGTATAGCTTTATGCTTAACAACAAGCAAATGAAACATTTTAAAAATACATTACAGTATCATTATATTTATATACTTAGAATGCATGCGAAATTGTAAGCTATGCACAAAATAAATGCAAGTTTCTCCAGAGTAACATTGTTGAAAATTTATCAATGTTAAGCATTATAATTTATAGTTTGATTCAGGCTGTTTATTAGAATGGTAAGTTATTTTGTTATTATTACAGAAATAGTTATTACCATTAACTAACATAAATAATTAACAAATGCAGCTGGAGTTTGATTCACTTATAAAAATACAGAGAAATGACTGAACTTATTGTAAGGAAAAACAGATTGTATGACCAACATTTTGGTCAATCGAACTTCATCAGGTCCAAATTGAGGTCATTTGGCTGATATGGTAACCACATACTTAAATTTCTCTTTTTTTGTGAGACCTACAGTGACTTAGTGGTAAATCTGTGGACTTGTATACTGAAAAAAAAGGTTTCGATACTACTGGTAGACACAATACAGATAGCCCATCGCATAACTTTCCGTGATCTTAAGGGTTTTTGTTGTTGTTATTGTTTTTTTAGAGTGTATTTACAGAAGCCAAATATATTTTAATTCAATAAGATACTTAAAACCAAAGCTAGTAACAAAACTGATATCAATGCTAAAAATGTAAATATTTAATATCTGAAAAATTTGTGAATATACGAATTTGTTATTATTAAAGTTGAAAAAATAGACTGAACATTTCAAGTAGTGAAATACATTTCAATTAAAATATCTCCTATAACACGTAAATGAAATTCTTGTTGTTGTTTTTTTTTGTAATTAACTTATATCATGATATTGGCCCCATGACAAGTTTGATGGTTTATAACACTAAAAACTAGGTTTCGATACTTGCGGTTAGTACAGCATACAATGCCCATTGCGTAGCTTTGCGCGTAACAACATACAAACAAAAAACATGACTTTGGGAATACGAGACTAGTCATGAAGAATGATCGGCTTGCTGCTATTCTTGGCGCCATCTGTTGATCATGTCCCATACAAATGATCTTATAAATGTTAAATACTCCGTGGTCGCCTAGTGGCTCAGTGGTAAGTTAATGCTCTGCCCACCACGAGTATAGAAACCCGGATTCTAGCGTTGTAATTCCTCAGACATACCGCTGTGTCACTGGAGGGCGGTAAATTAATGAAAACACGAGGTGTATTCCCCATGGTGAACAGAACGCAAATAACCTATAGTTTAAAACAGGAGTGAAATAAGAAACATTATAAAATACTATTAAATACATAATGATCACATACCTGTGTAATATAAATGCCCAAACTAAATGAAAAAAAACAAATTCAATTATTAATTCTAATAATATAACGTAACATCCAACATTGTCCCTGTATAGTTTGTTGTTGTAAAAATGTGTTCATTTATATAAATAATCGCGCATGATATTTTTAATTGTTTTTTAACGTAATTTAACGTTCAAATCCACGAAATTACCACTGACTCATTAGGCGACCACAGAGTATTTAACATTAATAATATCATTTGTTTGGGACATGATCAACAGATGGCGCCAAGAATAGCAGCAAGCCAATCACTCGACATAACTTGTCCTGTATTCCCAGATTACAGTAAAATATTTTCCTGTTGGGACAGCGGTAAGTTTACGAACCTACAAGTCTGGGGTTCGATTCCATGCGGTGGACAAAGCAGGTAACTCGCTGTGGCTTTCCTCTAAAACAAACCGTTTTGTAATGATTAAATATATTATTTGCTCTGTGTTATTAAAAGCAACTAACTTCCTACAACTGGTCTTATATTGTGAGTACCACAGAAATTCACTCCCATTTTAAATGGTCAGGTGGTTAGGGTCTGAGGGTTGCGGGTTCGAATCCCCCTCCTTTCAGCCGTGGGGGGCGTTATAATGTGACGGTAAAAGAGTAGCCCAAGAGTTGGCGGTGGGTGGTGATGATTAGCTGCCTTCCCTCTAGTCTTCCACTGCTAAATTAGGGAATTGTAACTTTGCGCGAGACTCAAAAACAGACCAAACTACTCCCCTAGCGTTTAAGTTTGAAAAATAGTTGTATTTTCAGTCACTTAAAAAAGCTTTGTCATTACGAACTGTTACAAATGGTAGACGATTTTATAGAAAAAAAATAGAAATAAATATTATGCCACAAAATATATAAACGTATTGGAATTAGTGAAGTAGATAAATTTCAACATTCAGAGGCCAACATTGAACTGTTTGTAATATATATAAATAATGCGAATATAAGAATCGTTTAATACTATAATATTGATCTATAGAAATATTTTACACAATTTGTGTCACTTAATTGGTACTTGCAAACGTGCGTTTTATCAACCCCAGTGGAATATTTAAACATATTTCTTTAAGTACAGTCCAGTCTGTTCACATGGGTCCTTGTAATTACAGTGCTTGAGCTTTAAGCCTTAAGGGAGGGTATGTGGGCCCATACACTATGGTGCTTTCAGCCGTGGGGGCGTTATAATGTGACGGTCAATCCCACTATTCATTGGTAAAAGAGTAGCCCAAGAGTTGGCGGTTGGTGGTGATGACTAGCTGCCTTCCCTCTAGTCTTACACTGCTAAATTAGGGACGGCTAGCACAGATAGCCCTCGTGTAGCTTTGCGCGAAATTCAAAAACAAACAAGCACTATGGTAATGATCAGTTGACAATGTTAGCTCTAGTTTTCGGAGAAAAACGGCCAATTGTGTCATTCTTAATAACCAAAATCATAAGGTTTAGAAATAACTTTAAATTTCGGAAATCGATCCATAACTGAGAAATATACATTCAATTAAATTAGCACACACACATTGTTTACATTATTGACAGCCACGTTTTTGCCCTTA